CAAGTCAATACATGGTTTTATTGTTGTTTCATTTGGAACTAATGTGGCATTCCTGTCAAAGAAAAAGGTAGATCTGTTGGCTGCTGCATTTGGAAAACTTCAACAGAATGTTGTGTGGAAACTGAAGGGTGAGATATCAAATGTGCATAAATGAAGGACACAGTGCCTGGAATAGAGGGATCATTATATGTTTCTGGGAAACTGCCCACCTATCCCTCCCCTTACCCAACATTAACACTTGCTTCTCACTTAGGGCAAAATGTTGGCTTAGAGGAGGGGTAGGCGAGCAGTTTCCCAGAAACGTATAATGATCTGAATAAAGCCTCTGAGTGACATCTGAGTAACTGCTTGATTTTACCTCCAGTTTGCTGTGTATATGCGCTTGTGAATCATAGTGAGAATTTTATATTAGATCAAAAGTCCCTTGATGCCTTATTCAGACCTGCCAACCCCTGACTAAGGAAGATCTGGAGACTTATGAAAAAAATCGGGAGATTCTACAAAAAGTAGTGAGATTCCATTTTTTTTTCCTGATCAAGATAAAACAAACCCTTTTTCTGTTAGGGGAATTAGCTGTGTATTTAAAAATTTCCTGTTTTTTCAAGCTGTATTTAATATTAAATAAGTTTGTCTTTTTTGTTTATAGGTTACATTCCCTCATCTCTGAGCCCAAACATAAGAGCACTAGAGTGGCTACCTCAGAATGATCTTCTGGGTCACAAGAACATTAAGGCATTTGTATCTCATGTGGGACACAATAGTCTTTATGAGTCTGCATATCATGGGGTTCCTGTGGTAGCATTTCCTTTGTTTGCAGATCAGTTTTTTAACGCAAAAAAAGTTGAACATTTTGGACTGGGAGTATCGGTGAATCACAATAATTTTGAGGTGGAAAACTTGGTTAGGGAAATAAAACATGTTATCAGTGAGCCAAGGTAAGGCTGCACTACAGCTATTCAAACCTTCCTTCCATTTTTCTCTTCCAGCCTTCCGTTAACTTACCTATATGTATCTGATCATATGTAAATAATGTAAACTAATGTTTGATCTATGCCTGACCTGCCTTGATTAGTGTTCTTTCTACTTTGCACTTCAGCACTATCTTATATATTTATGTCAAGTAAATAAAGGTTGTTGTTGTTGTTTAACCGTAAAAAATGGCAAAGGTCAGATTATTTTATTGCTGAAGGCATTTGTGGCAGGTTTAGCTCCTTCTTTCATTAATATTATTCATCAGCAACAGATGAGACTGGGAGTAAGTACAGTTGACTCCCCTTGACAGACATCTCTTAAAGATGGACACCTTGCTAAAATGGACACCTAGAGTTGGTCCCTGCCTTTAATCTTTACTGCCTTTGACTCTCAAAAAGACGGATGTCACTCTTAGACAGACACTTAGTGCGGGTCCAAAAGGTGTCTGTCTTTAGAGAGAGTTGACTATACTACCATCTATACAAGAAGAATGCTTGAGTATTTACTGGCCACCCAGTAAGCAGTAATGGTTGTCACCCTGGGGGGGGGGGGTATCTCTGTGAATTCTTGATGGCCGTGTGCCACCTGCGGTTCTCCAAATCCTGACCCTATTTCAGACCAAAAAATGACATCTTTCACACTCATTTTCAGACCTGGCCTCTAAAATCCATACCCATTCTCAGACCTGGCCTTTAAGAAATTATGTCGTCATTATCTAGATTAGAACAGCAACAAAAAATATTTTCTTAAAATCCATTTCGAATTCGCATATTTCTCTTTCTTTCTCACTCATTTGGAATTGAAAAAATAAATTTAAAAAATATGTTCGTACACTCCCGCAGTTCCCTTGAAAACCATACCCGATTCCAGATGAAAATGAGCAGTCTATACCCGTTTTCAGACCAAAGCAGGGCAAAAACCCTTCCCTTTGGGGCGGCACATACCTATATGGCTTACATATATATCACCACCAACACCATCACATTGAACATAGATATCAGTGCAAAATAATAGACTATAATAATAATAAAAAAAGAAACGGTACACACTTATCCAAGATCGGAGCAAGATGGACAAGGTAGAAGTATGTAACAGTGAACACATAGAAGTGGCTCTAGATGAGGTCTGACATGAGCTCTTATTTGCAGGTTTAAAACTGAGGCTACACGAATATCTCGGCTCCTTAAAGATAGACCAAGGACACCATTAGAGACAGCTGGTGATTGGATAGAGTATGTGATCAGACATGGTGGAGCTACACATCTCAGAGCTCAAGTGTTTAACATCCCTTGGTATCAGTACTACCTACTTGATGTCATAGCATTCCTTGTTGCCATAGTTACACTGGTTGTTTATGTAGTCTGTATGGCATGTCGCTTCCTATGCAGGCTGTGTTGTCAAAAGAGGGATAGCAAATCTAAAGAAGAATAGACAATTTTAAAGTATGTTTATTAAACTCATGGTTATATTTGTTGCCATGGTGAGAAAGTTCACTTATGCACAGGAAATCTAAAGTAATATGTATGCACAGGGTACACAAGATTAGCAGGCAGCCAGTCAGTCATTTAACTGTAGATTTCTTTTTCTTGAGCTGCCGATTGTTATCTTTCTTCACCACGGTGGAGAATATGGTGAACAAAATGATATTATTAGAAATGAAAATTTTTTAATTTTTCAAATTTTGATTAAGAATTCCTTGTGTCTTTATGCAGTGGGTATTCATTTGTACGGTAATTTTCTTGCTTGGTAAATTTTGATTAATAATATTTCTTTTTTATGCATTTTTATGGATGATTTACACTGGAGAAAAGCTATATATAATGTCTTTTTTTAGTTTTTTAGAGAAGCCTTGCTATATTATAATAATTTAAAGTTTCAGCTGTCCTAAGACAGTTTGTCGAAAAAGTCAACAGAAATATGAAGAACAGCAGCTGCAGGTATCTGTCGTGTATGAAATATATTTGTGAGCCTTTTTTGATATATAACCATAGGAGACCCCTTACTCTTATTTGTAAACTGCAAATGGAAATTAAATGAGAGATAAAAACTTACCTGTTCTGTTCTTGAATCTTCTTCGGGAGCAAAGTGAAATGGAAGTTGTTCAGTAGGATGCAAAAACGTTCGTTTAATTTCGCGTTCGCGCTTTCTCAACATTATATTCCCAACTTTCAAATCGGCCTTCCCTTTTTCTGTCATCAAATCCTACTTTTTCATTTACACAAATGAACTGTTATAATATTAAAACAGAAAAAAAAGCGATTTCGGAGCAGAGCAGTTCCCGACACTTCCCCCGCGCTTGTCCCACCTCTTCCCACCCCCGATGATGCAGCGCTGATGCGGCAGAATTATAATCGTTCCCAGGGTAGCTCTTCACCTCTTGATTGCTGAGCTTGCAGCTGGGCGAGCGTGACGAAGGACAAGTCTGTTTAGACGAAGCAAAAATGTTGTGGCTTTCTTGGATTCTGTTGCTTTTCTTGGCTGAATCTTCATCTTCAGCCAAAATTTTAGGAGGCAGTGCAGTCGGAGGATCTCATTACATGGTGATCAGGAACGTCATGGAAGAATTAGCCGCCCGGGGTCATGAGGTGCTACTAATTTTAACTCGAACTGTAATTAAGCTTATGTAACTCACTCAGAAATTACACTTTCATCTAAAACTGTTTTTTGTCATGTGTTTTCCAAACATATTGCCATCATAAAGAGATATACAAGACTCTCACTGATGAACTACCCCACACTGTCCTCAGCTGCACTAGTAATTTTTCGGGGGCGCAGGCTAGACGCGTGCGTACTGTTCTTCGCAAATCCCACGCAGGGTGACTTCAACATTTCAATTGTTTATCAAAAAGCAAAAGGGAAACTGATGATAAAACGTTAACAAAAAATAAATGAGAGCTTCCCACAAAAATATGGTGGGGATTTAATTATTTTCAGGTGTGACATCGACAAAAGGTCCTGCAACTCGAACCCTAAGGGACGGACCATTGCATTAGAAAAGTTATTGAGGAGGTGGGGGGGGGGGGGGGGGG